TTGGCCCAGGATCGAACATTGTTTCGTTCTGCTGTGCATGGGGTCGCTATGAGTCGGTTCCGACTCGATGGCACCTGACAACAACAACAACAAGGAACACTCTTTTTAAAAGCTCTGTTGCAAGATCTAAAAGACCAATCATACTCTATATGGACTATAAATAATAGATAACAATTACAGGGCTACTGGGCAGCGGGGATGAGAAAAGGAATGAGATGAGGTCTTGGAGAACACCGCAGCTTATCAGGACGGCTGGCAGTCAGTGAAGAGACACAGGCCCAGGCAAGTCAAGGGGTGCGAGGGGGTAAGACCACCGGGGAAGGCCTCGCAGAGATGGTGGGCAGAGACAGCGGCACGGACACAGCTGGAGCCCTGTCCCCAGAGAAAGACGTGCAGAAGCAGAGAAAGGAGGAACAGCCACCAGAGCCTTCAGGAGATCCAAAGGTCGGGGGACGTGCCCCACAGATGAGGTTGCAGCCAGAAAGCAAACGAGGAGGGCTCCGTGGGGCCTTCTACAGAGTTTACACCGGACTCTGAAGGCCGCCCTCAGAGGGTCTGACTTACAGGACAGAAGAGCGGAGTGAGCACAACAGGAAGATGAAATCAGAGTTTTAGAAAGGAGTCAGAATGGATACAGTGACGACAACGCAAGGACCAGAGTGTTCAGTATGAGCTCCGTGGTGGCTGAGAGCAAAGCAGGGCGTCTGTGGGCCAGTTCGCCAGAGGACAGCTGGAGGGGAAAGGATGACCTCTCCCAGCCAAAGAGGGATCTTGGGGATCCTCAGTTCCTAGTAGAAATGCACTGGGCCAATCTTGCAAATGAAGCATGTCAAACGGAGTAAAGGCCTCTGGGAAACACAGGCAGGAAGCCGTAGCCTCGAGCACACTCTAGCGGTCTCCTTGTCTATCATTACACATTGTTGCTGGTGCCATGGAGTCAATTCCAACTTGCAGCGAGAACAGAACTGGCCCATAGGGTCTCCTAGACTGTCCATCTGTGTGGGTGCAGCTGTCCAGGGTTTTTCCCAAAGAGCTGCTGAGTAAACGCCCAACCTTTCATATGGTGTTGTTGTTAAGTGCCTTCGAGTCGGTTTGACCCACAGCAACCCTGTACAGCATTTAAAAAGAGCGGCTGGTGAGCCTGAACTGCCGACCTTGCAGTCCAGTGCATTAAGCACAGCATCACACCAGGGGTCCCACAACAATAGTAACATTGCAACATCAAATCACTCTTCAAGTCCCGTGTAGAACGAACCTCTCTGGAGAGGGAATTTATTGTGATGTTCTTGCTTCGAGAGGGCAAAGAACAAGCTAAGTCAGAACATCTCATATATGGCAAACACCGCTGAGCCCTTGAACCCTCGTAAGTGCCTCACCAAAAAGTTTCCATGACGTAAGGAGCTCTGGTAGCGTAGTGGTTACGAATCAGGCTGCTAACCTCAGGGTCAGCAGTTCGAAACTACCAGCTGTTCCACAGGAGTAAGATGAGGCTTTCTGTTCCCGTAAAGATTTACAGCCTCGGAAACCCTGTACAGGGTCGCTATGAGTAGGAATCGACTCCATAGCACGTGACCACCATCACCACTTCTGTGAAGAAACCAAGGCTCACTGCTCACAGATGTTCAATCAGGAAAGGGGCAACACTAAGGTCGTTTCCAATTGTACGGAGAAGCTTGTTCTTAGCTCTCATTAAGAGAAAACTTGACATTGAATCCCCTCTCCAGAGACGTGCTAAAAGAAGGACTCGAGGAGGGAGTGATTTGATATTGCAAAGAGGAGACTGGTTTCCTGTCAGCAGGACAGCAGTCAGGACAGCTATTAGGTGGTAAAGAATGCTTATGCCAAAGCTGCCCGTTCCATGGCAAATCCTTCTCAGTTGACTCTTCATAAAACCACTGTGGAATCGGTATGGTATTAGTCCTGAACCCGACTAGAGACTTCGATGGTGGGACTCTAGAATGGCAGATAAATGCACTGGACGGCTAAGTACAAGGTTGGCAGTTCAAACCCGAGAAAGAGAAGGCTCCCCCAAAGACGCACAGCCTCGGAATCCTATACAGGGTCATTATGAGCACTTATTTATATTGAGTACAATATGACCCCGAGCTCCTTCCTTAAGTCAGAGCCAACCAATAGTGGACCGAAAACATTCTGAAAACAGTAAAAAGCACGCACTGCCGCAGAGGCTACCCAGCGCCTCAGTGCTATTTACAGAGCACGGACGTTACAGGAGGCAGTGTCTGTGGTGCGACAGGGTGGTCACTGGACTACTAACCACAAGGTCAGGTTCACATCTACAACTCCCCCTTGGAAAGCCACACAGGATTGCTAGGAGTCAGAAGTGACTTGACGACACCTAACATTAGACCTGCAGGGAATCGAGCTATGGCTTCTAGTATATAGACTGCACGCTGGTTAAAACGCTGATATTCTGGCATGATACACACATCAAGGGCTTGAGCGTTATGGATTTTGGCATCTGCAGGCCCGAACGCCCATCGCAGGAGCTGACTACGTGTCTAAATAGACACAACAGTCATTGCATTAACTAAAACTCTACCCAACACATTTCTCCTGGAATGTCTGTGAACATCTCCACATCGTCTTCATCCTAACGTCACATAGGGTAGCAGAACCAGCAGCCAGCCAGGAATTCTGAGATCTCCTGGCTTCCGCTACGTCCCTGCTATGTGATCTCTGTCACCACATTTGAATCTTCGATTTTAAAATCTAACATCAACAAATCCCAGAACACAAGAAGCCTTAAAATACCCACCACATGCATGCATTTCCCTGTAGAGAAAGACCCGCAGAGTTCTAACACCAGACGTTCCTAGTAGCTGCACATCGGTCAATTTACTGAAAACCATCAAACTGTGCACTTCAACGGTGAATTAATCACAGGATATAAATGATCTCTCAATGACGCTGTTCTGAAAAGTGACCACAGACACAGCTGTCAGTAGCAAAAGCAACCCTGGTGTCCCACTGCAAGCCACAGGAAAATGCCCTGGAGTGTCGGCCACCTGGGCTGCGGCTGGAGCGAGAGGGGAAGAACACTCTACACAGACGTGACTCAGCCAGAGCAGGCCGGTACCTGAGGTCCTGACTAGAAGTCTCGCAACTCCGAGAGCTATCTCCTGAGCCGGTCCGCCTCCTTTTCGATGGCTGGGTTCCATCGTTGGAATGATCTTCAGTGTCACCCTGTACGTCCAAGAGAGAAGAAGAAACCATCAGACACCCAAACAAACGACTAGGCGTCTTCCAAAACTTGCTAGAAGGTCATCAAGTTAAAAATTCTCAGAGGACCAATCAGACAAAGTGAACTGGCTATTATAATTGTTGTTAAGTGCCATCGAGTTGATGCCGACTCACAGCAACCCTTGTAGGGTTTCCAAGGAGCAGCTGGTGGGTTTGAACTGCCGACTCTGTGGCTTAAAGTTCCACAGTTTGAAGGCACTGATCCTACACCACACCAGGAGTCCCCATAGTTGCGGCTGTTGTTGTTCAGTGCTGTGAGTCAGGGCCGATTCATAGCGATACTGCACAGGGTTTCCGAGGCTTGAAATCTTGGCAGGAATGAAAGTCTCATCTTTCTCCCGTGGAGCAGCTGGTGGGCTCATATTCATGACACGTTCTATGAAATAGGACATTATAATAAGAGCACCTATCATAATTAAAAGACGCTCTGGGAGCATAGTGGATTACGAGCTGAGCTGCTAATGGAAAACGCAGCTGTTCGACCCTACCAGCCGCTCTGTGTGAGAAAGATGCAGCTTTCTGCTCCCATAAAGATTTACAGCCTCAGAAACTCTATACAGGGTCACTAGGAGTCGGAACCAACTCCATGGCACATAACCAACAGCACGACCTTTATAATTAAAAGGGCCAAATATCTGACACAAGCAAGACCTGCAACGAAAGTCACAACTGCTCACCAACAAAATCAAAAACAGAAAATGTTTAGTTAACCTATATGTCTATATCCTCTTTCAATATCTTAACAAACAGGTTCAAACTCCCTCTACTTTTAATACATAAAAATTGCTGCCTCATTTTCAGCTTAAAGTAACCTTTGCTGCCCTTGCCAAGAAAAAAACATGTACGGATAATTTACAGTGTTTAACTCATCTTCTAATATAGACCTTCTTTCATAAGACAAGCATTAGTAAGTTCAGAGACCAGAAAGAAGAGGGGGTGGGGGAAGTGTGCTTTATCCAAGAGACTGGTTCTGCCGATGGGCAAAGTGGCACTGAATGTGGGCACAGCCCGAGTGGTGACAGAATAGCACACAGATGAGAGCACACGGGAGGTCTCTCTAGTTAGGTGCAGTGGAGTCGGTGCCACCTCATAGGTGGACAACAAAGCCCTGCTGTGTGCATGCACTGTGGGACCTCTGCGTCAGTCCATCACGTGAAGACTCTCCTCTTTTCTGCTGACCCTCCACTTCGCCAGGTAGAACGTTCTTCTCTGGCGATTAGTTTCTCCTAAGGTGAAGCCTCGCCATCCTCTTTCTAAGAGGCATTTGGGCTGTACTTCTTCCGACACAGATTCAGTCCGTGGCATAGTCAATATTCTCCCCGCGAACACAACAGGCTTCTAAGACTTTTCTAATGGGCTACTTTACGTACTTACGTCCCTGTGAGAAGTGAGGCTACTAGAACTAACAAAAAGGTAACAATCCCAACTGTGTTAAATACTTTTCTTGTATTATAAAAACTTAGCAAAAATACACCCTAAAAAAGCATCCATCTGTATAGCTGTCCACCAAAAAACTGAAGCCAAACCATAGTCATACATTCCATTCCAACTCACAGCAACCCTATACTGGGTTTCCAAGACACAAATCCCTATGGGTGCAGGCAGCCTCACCTTTCTCCCAGGTAGCTGCAGAACATGTAACCCTCCCCGCTACCAACCACTGAATGAAATACATTATATGACAAGAATATCAAGAGTGGGGCCAATGGTGAACTTGTTCTGGGGCGAACTGAAAGGTTTCAGACCAGGCCTTGATAGCTACTTGTGAAAAATCACCCATTTAAATTCTACAGAGGAAAGTTCTATACACATGGAGTCACAATGAGTTGGAAATGACTGAGGACAGTTTGTTTTTCACTGGTTGCATTCTGCTATTCCATTATAGAAATGAGAAAACAGATTTATTCATATATGACAGCTTCAAAGGGTGTCTACTTATACTTCACTGACTACGCCAAGGCATTCAACTGCGTGCATCCTCAACAAACAATGGATATTTCGAATAATGGCGATTCCAGAACACTTGATTGTGCTCATGAGAGGAACCTGCACACAGACCAAGAGGCAGTTGTTCAAACAGAACAAGAGGATACTGAATCATTTTAGAATCAGGAAAGGTGTGTGCCAGGTTCGTATTCTTTCACCATACTTATTCAATCTGTATGCTAACCAAATAACCCAAGAAGGTGAATTCTATGAAGAAGAGTAAGGCATCAGAACTGGAGGAAGACTCTAATGATCTACAGTATGCTTGCTAAAAGGGAAGAGAACTTGAAAATATTTACTGATGAAGATCAAAGGTTACAGCCTTCAGTATGGACTGTACCTCAATGTAAAGAAAATGAAAATCCTCACCACTGGGCCAATAAATAATATCATGATAAATGCAGGAAAGATTGAAGTTGTCACAGACTTCAATTCGCTTGGATCAACCATCAACACTCATGGAAGCAGGAGTCAAGAAATCAAAGGATACATTGCATTCTTTTTCAGAAGGGCCCTCTTTAAAGGATTCAAGAGCCAAGATGTCAGTCGGAGGACTAAGGTGCACCTGACCCAAGCCACTTCATTTTCAGTAACCTCATATGCACGTGAAAGTTGAACACTGAGTAAGAAAGATCATAGGGGAATCTACACATCTGAGTTAAGGTGTTGGAGAAGAATATTCAAAGTCCTTGGACTGTATCATGTACAAGTACCGAGTACAGCCAGAATACCACTTAGAAGCCATGATGGCCAGACTTCATCTCTCATTCTTTGAACATATTATCAGCAGGGACCAGTTCCTGGAGAAGGACTTCATGCTAGGTAAAGTGGAGGGTCAGGGGAAGAGGACAACCCCCAAGGACATGAACACAATGACAGGAGCACTGGGCTCAAGCTCAACAAAGACCGTGAGGGTGTGGCAGGGCCAGACAGTGCTTCGGTCTGTTGTGCACAAGGTCACAACGGCATCTAACACTAACAACAACACGGGCGGCCAGAAGAACACACTTAGAAGTGGGTTAGAAGAAGTACAACTACAATGCTCGTTTGACACGAGGGTGGCAAGAGTTCATCTCTTGAACCATGGATGAAGAGACCAGTCAGGAAAAAGAATGGATACTTAGAAAAGTGGAGGGTCAGAGAACCAGAGAAGACCCCCAACAAGATGAACTAACACAGTGGTGTGACAACAGCCTTAACATTAACAATTGTGAGGATGGCATAGACTGGGCTGTGTTTTCTTCTATTGTTCAATGGCACCTCACAACAACAACATAAAAGAAGCATTCAAATGAAAGCACTTTTTTGTATATTTCTATTAATACAATTAGCCAGGCAGGATCTGCAGAGCAGTCTGCATGCATCTAGTCTAAGAAAACTTACACTGAATAAGGATCGATTACTAAAAAAGTTATGGTACAATATTATCAGCACTGGACTGGGAGCCACAAATAAGGTCAGCAGTTCAAACCCACCAGCTGCTCTTCCAAAACCCTATATAGGGTACTCATGAGTCAGAACTGAAGCCACCTGCACTTAATTAAGTAGTAAGACTCCTAGTATGGGGCTGGAGGATCCATCAGCACTGGACTGCAAACCACAAGGTCCACAGTCAGACCTATTAGCTGCTCCTTGAAAACCCCATACTAGGTCACTAGGAGTCAAGAACGGATTCAAAGGCACTTAACAACTTCACCGCTGGAAAGGAACCCTAGTAACCTAGCGCGTTCTAGCTGGGCTGCTAATCACAAGATCAGCAGTTTGAATCTAACCATAGGCTCCAAGGGACAAATATGAGGCTTTCCGCTCCTATAAAATGGACAACCTCAGAAACCCTACAATAGGTTGCTGTAAGTCAGAACCAACTCCAAGGCATCACCTCGATTGTAATGTTTCACACTGAACAGACATAAATCATTTTAAGCACCAGTCTTTTTATGTTTGTGTTTTTGTCGCATGTGAACATTTTAAGGCTTTTTGTGTCAATATGCTCAAGGGTATTTATGGCTAAAAAAATGAGATACTCAAAAATAAAGTTAAAATATGTCTTCAAAAGAGCCGAAACCAGTTCCAGGTGTGTGGTAGCTGTGAGGTGCCATGGAGTGGCTTCCCGCTGAGAGCATTCCTACCTACCTCACTGCCTGCTCTCCCTAGGGACGCCCATTGCATTCTATAAAGTGTTTAATTTAAAAGTTCCCGTGACACTCCTAGACGAAAGAGCATGTGGTCAGCTGACCGTTCTCCAGAGGGGGGGCCACAGAAATATTTGCTACAAGGTAAGCACTGCACTGCTAACTCCAAGGTCGGTTCAAACTCACCAGGCCAATCCTGAGAAACCAGGAGCTTACTGGTCACGCTGGCAGAAATCAGGTGTCCAGCCCTGATGGCTACAGGTGGCTCCCACCTTCACACAGCCCTGCAGGAGGGGCTGGACTGAGCAACCACCCGCGACCCCTTGGGAAGTGCGCCCCTGCTCCAGGGGCCCACTGGGGGCCCGGACAAACTCCAGGCCCAGTGTGCGGGCAGCTGGCCGGTCACTCGGCTCGGACCTACGTCCAGCAGTTGCGGGCGGCGCGCGTCTCCCCGGGCGTTGGGTCACCTCGGGGGCCTGGACGCGGTAGTGAAGCAGCGGGCACGCGCGCCGCCACCAGGAAGAGCGGAGCGGCCTCGGGGCACTTCCACTTCCGGCCAGAAGGACGGTTCTCCCGCGGAAAGTCGGTCGGGCCCGAGCGCTGTGGCCCCCGGACACGGCAGACTTGAGGGCCGCTAAGCAGGAAACGACAGGCCGAGGGAGCGAGAGAAGGGCAGCGCGGGCCGCCGACCGACAGGCCCGAAGACGGGAAGGAACTTCAGGAAAGTCCGGGCCGCGGCCTCCCCGCCCGCCCCGGCTGCTCACCTTCGGGGACGGCGCTCCGGAGGTGACTGTGTCACCGTCGCCCAGGCGCGGGGACAGCGCCGACCCAGGACCGGCCACTGCCGCCATCAGCCCAAGCGCCCCGCGCCGTCGCCGCCGCCGCCGCCGTCGTCTCGTCCCAGCCGCTG